TGGCAGCACGGCAACCCGAATTTTCATCTGGTAACGACCATACTGCAGTGATTGCCCACCTTTGGCAGGGCATGTAGTGTCCCCTGGTTTATGTCAGCTTACTGCCGCTTTGATAAGTTATCTTACTGGACACTGTAAGCACTTGAGTGTGCTACCTCTAGGAGAATTAAGTAGTTGCCTTCTAACCATGAGATTCTGTGATGATGGTGATTTCAAAGAGAGTTAAGGATTTTAGTCCTTGTATACCTGTATAAATTCAGGGTACAAAGGCAACATTTTTTCTTGCTGGGTGTCAGTGGCAGGGCAGCCTTTGCAGAGCATTTCCTCTTCCTGTTGAAGTAATCAAGGGAAAGGTGCTGATCATGCTAAGGAAAACACAAGCCCTTATCAAGCCAGCTTACCTATAATTGAGTGCTTTTGGTGTAGTTTGTGGCTTTTTACAATATACTGGCTTTTTTTGGAATATATTTAGAGCAAAACTGCTGTGGTCTTGCTGTTGCATTTTATACAAGTTTCAAAATTACTACTTTGGAATGACAGGTATAATTGAGGTGGGTGGCCATGAGTATTACTACTCATTTCTCTTTAGCCAACAGAGTTCATCACTGTACTGTTCCAAATAATTTTCCATTTAAATTATGCCATTTTTCTCTAAATCCAACTGTTTAGTGTGTGCTTAGTACACCAAAGGACTGGCATGAGGTGTCATAAAGTACATTAAAATAAAATAATTATTTTATTCCTGTTAGGATTTCAAATTACTTTTCTCTTATAATGGCTTCAAAATATAAAATTCAGAAGGTTACATTCTGAGGGCAGTTGGTGGATTCAGCAACAAATATTTTACTAAGTACTTTTTAATGTGTAAAATACTGGTTTAGGGAGACAAACAAGTATTATATAAATAGGTCTACACAGTGGTCCCATCCTAAAGGGATTTACACTGACTTAATGCCTTTACCACCATTGCACAGTTAATACAAACACTTTTTTTAGGATACACTCTTACTGGGTCTTCACTAGCATCTTTCTAAGTCTTTTACTAGTACAGGGCATGTGACTTGTGTTTTCTGAGCCCAAGGTGTTAGAGTTTATAGAATTCCTAGAATACTTCTTTTTTTCAAATTGGACAGTTTAGGAAAATAGGTACCATCAATCCTTCCTCTTATATTCCATGAACCAAGGATGAACTATGTTAGTGAGACTTTTCTGAGCTTTAATTGCTCAAGATTCAGCTTAGTAGGTGTCTCTTCCTGTGATGCTCTAGTTCTGCAGTCCCTAACCCCAGGCTGCAGCCCAGCACTGGTTAGTGTCCTGTTAGGAACCGGGCCACAGGTCACTGCCTGAGCTCCACCTACCACCTCCCACTGCCCCCGTCCCCACCTGTCCCCCATCTGTGGAAAAATTGTTTTCCATGAAACTTAGGAACCAGGAGCCGCAGAGCGGGAGGTGAGTGGAGGACGAGCAAGCGACGTTTTATCTGTATTTACAGCTGCTCTGCTCCCCATCACTTGCATCACCCTGAGCTTCACCTCCCCAGTGTGTTTGCTTTTTAAGTGTTACAAATAGTACATTTTCATCTATTTACACTGGAAAATAACTTCATTAGATACAAAGAAGCTAAATTTGTAAAATTATTAGAAAAAGATCTCCAATAGAATATAGGATGGACGATAATAATTTTTATAATTACCTAGGGCATACTATGGAAATACTAATTTTTTTGGAGGGCCTTCTAATACATCTGTGAAGATTTCTGCAAAACTAAAACAACTAGAAGAGGAGAATAAAGATGCTATGTTTGTGTTTATATCTGATGTTTGGTTGGACCAGGTAGAAGTATTGGAAAAACTCCACACAATGTTTTCTGGTAGGTATTTTTTTTCCCTACTCTTTCTTGAACTCTTATGATGGTTCATGTCTTAAAACTAAATTCCTTTTTAAAATGTATCTTTTTGAGTATTCTGTTTTTTTAAAAGAACATTGATTTAGCAATGAGATATTTTAAATAGGATTTCATTTTAAAGACTTACGTTTTTATATTTTTAAAAAACCGTGTATTCATGATAAATAAGAATTAGTCCTGCAGTGCATGGTGCTCACATTTGTCATTTCAGCACTTTGGGAGGCTGAGGTGGGAGGATTACTTGAGCCTAGGAGTTTGAGACCAGCCTGGGTAACATGGCAAGACCTATGTTTTAAAAATTTAAAAATTAGCCTGGTGTTGTGGTGCACACCTGTACTCCCAGCTACTTGGAAGGCTGAAGCAGGGGGATTGCTTGAGCCCAGGAGTTCCAGGCTGCAGTGAGCTGTGATTGCACCACTGCACCCCAGCCTGGGCGGCAGAGTGAGACCCTGTCTCTTAAAGAAAAAAAGGAATTAGTCCTAAGTATAGTATAAGGGAATGGATAAGAGCTTGGGCTTTGTCGTCTTACAGAACTGGGTTTAAGTGCCAGCCTAATATCTTGGGCAGGTGACTTAACCTAAATCTCAACTTACACGGATGTACTGAGAGTTAATTCAGCCTGCCTGGCACATAGTAAACTGTGCTCAATAAATGGGCACTATTATTACTATTATTTTAATAATAACTTATTATTAAAAACTCATGGTTGGCCAG